CACACACACACATATACACATACACACACACACATATATATATAAACACACACACACACATATATACACACACACACACATATACACACACACACACATATACACACACACACACATATATATATATATATAAATAAAAGACTAAAACACCACAAAATGACTAAAATAAAAATGAAAACAAATGTAAACGCAGATGTAAAGACAAGCCTCTCAGATGCACAATACTGTACTATCATTACTGTGCTTGTCTCGTCTCTTAGCTTAGGTTTTATACACTATAATACTATATTTTCAGCAGAAGCACAAGACGGACAATACAATAATGTCAACTTAAACCGATCATGTCATGTCCATTTATCCGCCAAGTGTCTCAGTAACGAGTCAGCTGGCCATTATAACAGAGTTAACCCTGACACAGTCACAATAACTAACCACTGAGGTGAAATTAACACGTATTGCGCAAAAATACTCGACAACGCAGAGAGTGCTAGTCTGTGGAGAGACGCTGATCTGTGTGGCCACATAGCAGCTAGCGCTAGCCCAGATTAGCGGGACGTTCGCTCAGATATTCATACATTAAGCGAATCAGATGTTTAGATACTGAGAGTCTGGTGTTTTTACTGAAACGCGGGTTCGTGGAGGGCTGGAAGCCGGCGGTCCGTTACTCGGGGCGGGTTTGGCGCGGTTCGGTGTCGGTTAGCCATTAGCATGCGCATCTGCTCACACGCGCCCAAACAGCGACTCTGTTCCGGGTTTAGCTGCGACGAGGGGCCGCTGGGACTCACCTGAGCTCCGGCTCATGCGCTTCTCCCATCCAGACGGCAGCTTCTCGTCGTCGGACATGACTTCAGAGTGATATCGGTTCGGCTCGGTTCTGGTGTGATGTTCCGTTGCCGCTCCTGCTGCAGTGACCGAACTGACCGACAGAGGGCGACCCGCAGGGTCCGGTCACTGCAGCAGGAGCGCGGCGGAACGCCGAGCCGAGCCGAGCCGAGCCGAGTCAAGCCGAGCCGAGTCAAGCCGAGCCGAGCCGATAGGGCGCTTTTGTCTATTCAGAAACATCACAAATAATATTTGTCCGTTATTTCTCTGAAATTATGTTTAAAATACAAACCTCGTAGCACGTCTTATTATTCTGTATACCGTTATTTAAATAATAAAAAGTCCATGTGTAGTAATCAAAACAGGATGTGATTGGTTGAGAATAGCAGCAACAGATGTCACGTGACAAATCGGGTCGACGACAAGAAACGTAAAAAAAGGTACAAAAAGTATTTGTTGAAAAAATACAATAAAAATAACATCCACAGCCGTTATATAGATAGAAGAGGCTTTAGTCATGTAACTGTCGGCATTTACAACGTTTCAAAATATTAAAAATGCCAATCGTTAAATTCAGATATCGTCTAAATCGCTCAAAAGTGATGACAAAGACATTTATAATGTTACGAAAGATTTCTATTTCAGATAAATGCTGTTCTTCTGATCTTACTATTCATCAAAGATACCTGACAACAATTCTACTCAGCTGTTTTCAACCTAATAATAATAATACTAAATGTTTTTTGAGCAGCAAATCTGAATATCAGAATGATTTCTGAAGGATCGTGTGACTGGAGTAATGATGCTAAAATGTAGCTTTAAAATCACAGGAATAAATTACATTTTAAAATATATTCAAATAGAAAACAGTTATTTTAAATAGTAAAATATTTCACAATTTCGCTGTTTTTGGCTGTATGTCTATAATAAGCTGAAGTATAATGCAGAGGTGATTTATTAGCACTAAACTATTAAAATGGGACGGGTGTGATAAATAACATCTCTCACGCTTTAGATAAGACATTCACGACGCCCTAAAGCGATTAGCCACGGTGACCACGCCCCACGGCGCTCTTCTTCGAATATGATTGGAGAAACCCGCTGTCAGTCAAAGGTGCGCGCCTCTGATTGGTCAAATGGGAGCGGATGTTTTCTTCGTTTCAAACGCCTGCGAGAGAAGCGCGTCTGATTATCTGCGCGAACGCACGAGAAGTCAGGTATAAATCATACCGTTTACTGATCATTTATGCGTGCATTCAATACTGCTGTTTTGTCATGTGTTATAGCATGTGGTGCACTTGTGTGTTTAAGTGAAACACATCGCCTTTTATGACACAGATGCTTCTGGAAGAGCTAAAGCATCATAGCACCACTGCGATTAGAATGATAACAGTTAACAGATCATCACACAGTATTTTGATATTAATTATATGAAGCAGATCAAAATAATTATGATGACATAAAGAGGTCATTGACAGAATGCAATATATACAGAATGAAGCATATAGTCCTGAGAGGTGTGTGTGTGTGTGTGTGTGTGTGTGTGTGTGTGTGTGTGTGTGTGTGTGTGTGTTTGGGTGGTTGTTGAAGTGTGTGTGTTTGGGTGGTTGTTGAAGTGTGTGTGTTTGGGTGGTTGTTGAAGTGTGTGTGTTTGGGTGGTTGTTGAAGTGTGTGTGTTTGGGTGGTTGTTGAAGTGTGTGTGTTTGGGTGGTTGTTGAAGTGTGTGTGTGTGTGTTTGGGTGGTTGTTGGAGGCAGCAGGTGTGCTTTGTGTTGTTTTTGGTCTTAACTGTGTGTCAGTCAGGAGGACACGATTGGAGACCTGAAGAAGCTGATCTCAGCACAGACCGGCACACGGTGGGACAAGATCGTGCTCAAGAAATGGTGAGAAGAAATGCTGAGCAGAAGAGTGGAAAACACCGCAGTCGAGCGTGATTATAATGTGACGTGTTTATGTGCAGGTACACCATATTCAAGGACCACGTGTCACTGGGAGACTGTATCCTTCACACGCAACATGAAAATGTGCTCATCCTCAGGTCATCTGAGATGTAGATGAGTTTGTTTCTTCATCAGATTTGGAGAAATTTAGCATTACAGTGAATGGGTGCCGTCAGAATGAGAGTCCAAACAGCTGATAAAAACATCACAATAATCCACAAGTAATCCACAGCACTTCAGTCCATCAGTTAACATCTGGAGAAGACAAAAGCTGAAACTAATCCAGCATTAAGACGCTTTTTAACTAAAATATAATCCATAATAACGCTTCCTCCAGTGAAAACGGTCATCTCTCTCATCAAAATCCAGCCACATTGTAGTTTAGAGCTGTTTAAACGCTGCTTGATCTGTGCAGAATGCTCTCCTGATTCACACCAGAACACTTTTTCACCAGAGGAAGAGTTATTATGGACTCATATTTGAACTACAAACGTCTTAATGCTGGATGTGTTTCAGCTTTTGTCTTCTCCAGATGTGAACTGATGGACTGGAGTGCTGTGGATTATTGTGATGTTTTTATCAGCTGTTTGGACTCTCAAACTCATCTTCATTTTGTATGACATGCAAATTTTTTTTGGCTGAACTATTCCTTTAATTAACCTCAAACCTGTACAAACAGTGTCTGTGATGCAGAAAAGCATTTCATTGCTTAGTTATTATATATATCAGTAACACTTCGAAATAAGGTCTAAATAACATAGTTAATGAGAAACATGTGTTACCATATTTATTAATGTTTGCTAGCATTAGTTAATAAAAATACAAGAGTTCATTGTTAGTTCATGTTAGCTCAGGTCCATTCAATAACAACAGATACAGCTTCTGATTTTAATAGTGTATCAGTTCAAACTAACATAATTGAGATTAATCAATGCTGACTAAAGAAATGAAAGTGTTACCAGTGTTATATCACATGAGTCAGTTCCTGATCTCTTGTGCTCGTGTTGAGTAAAACTGTCCCATACGTCTGTGCGTAACATTCAGTGTATCCATTAAGAGTGTTTTTGGAGACATTTGTGCATTTATATGCGTAATCGTTCATATCCTTGACTCTGAGCATCAGATGAAATCCATGACGGCATGAACCTCGAGCTCTATTACCAGTAGAAACACACACACACTAACACACACACAGCAACACATTACACACACACACACAGACACAGCAACACATTACACTTCTAACACGCACACAGCAACACATTACACAAACACAGCAACACATTACACTTCTAACACACACACACACACACACAGCAACACATTACACCACTAACACACACACACAACGAGTTGCTTTCATCATGTCTCGAGGCATCAGAATATGTGTTCAGTTGAATTGTTTTGATATTGTTTGGAAATAAAAGTCATATTTATGTACAGTCAAGGCTCTGTGTTTGTTGAACAGAACAATGCTTTTCAAACCATTTTAATCAGAATCTCAAGAAAAAACAGCTCATTACATCCATACTGACGAGCTCTTCTGAACCCGTCCAACCGTTAATCGTAATCTGAATGAAATCACTCCGAGCTGGAGTCTACAGTGAAAGGATGAAATCATCTGTATGTGCAGGTCAGCAAACCCTGCTGATGCGGACGCTTGACTGGATTCACAGGTGAGACTGTAAACAGAGTATGGGCGTATGAGTGTGTTGTTGGGGTGATGAAGCTGTTGATTGGTCAGCAGTAATCTGAATGCTCCTCCTCCACGTAATTAGCAGGAAACAGACCCACCTACAGGAGAACAGCATACTGTCAGTACTGAATCATTCATGATTCACCAAACCCCAAGACCTTATTATTCAGAAAACTCTTATATTGTCAATGAATAACAAATTCAGTTTGGGTCTGAACCTCTAATAAACCATCATGTGAAATTCAGCACACAAGTTTTAACACATGAATTTTAATTGGTATGATGCAGTGATTTTTTTATGTTTTTCTTTTACAAAATCGGTTCCAGAGGGCAAATTCTGAGATAGAAGATAATTATGGTGCATTTTTTTATGGAAAAGATCTGCTGAACATATTTTGTGGTTCACACAACTCGGCTTATGTTGATTTGATGTGATTTATTTAACAGACAGATAAATGATTTACTTGATTCAATTGAGTATTTGACCGAAATGAATGGAACACAGTGTTTATGATTATTTCTAATATGTTCTCATACAAATGCCTCTCAAAATCTATATATCTATTTTCTTGTTTAATAAGGAAGTAAATAATTTAAAATAATTTTAGTTTTTGGCATTTTAGAAGTTTATATTAAAGGGGTCATATGTGATTTCACGTTTTCCTTTCTCTTTGGAGTGTTACAAGCTGATTGTGCATAGATAAGATCCCTGAAGTTGCAAAGACTACAGTCTCAAACCCAAAGAGATATTAGTCCACGCCCTCCTAAAACACCTCATTTAAACACGCCCCCACAAATCTACATCACTGTGTGGAAAGACTTGCATAACACCGCCCAAATGTATACGCAAAGAAATAAGGTGTAACTTTTATTCTCGCTGTAGTGTTGTTGTTGTGGAGATGCTGTGTGTTTCCAAATATGGTGAGGGGCGTAACATTTCTGTCACACGCTTGAGGTATTCGGCCAATCACAACGCACTGGATAGCTGGCCAATCA